CTGACTGATACCAATGAAGTCCCCCACCCCCTGAGCTGAGATAGTTCAATCCGACCCAAAGAGCACATAGGGAGGTGTGTGGCTTACCTGGGGAGTAGGGAATCTCAGTGTCTATTGTATAATGTCTGTGCAGAAGAGTGTCATGAAAAGCACAGATGTGAATTGGAAGGCAGCTGAGAATTTGATAAATACCTAGTTCCTTGGCTACACACTTTAAGTGTCTTCCTTCCCTTCTGAAATTATCTCAGCCATCACAGGAAGAAATTCCAGATGAATTACAGATCAAAGTATGAATCAACTAGAAGAAAATACTGGAGAATATATTTGTGTGTGTATTTGTGTGTGTGTGTGTGTGTGTGTGCGCGCGCGCGCATGTGTGTGTGTAATTTTGGAGTAAAGAATACTTTAAAAATTGTTTTTAATGTTTATTTACTTTTGAGAGAGACAGATTGCGAGAGGGGGAGGGGCAGAGAGAGAGAGGGAGACACAGAATCTGAAGCAGGCTCCGGGCTCTGAGCTGTCGGCACGGAGCCCACACTCAGGAACCGTGAGATCATGACCTGAGCTGAAGTGGGATGCTTAACCAACTGAGCCACCCAGGTGCCCCAAAAATACCTTTTAAATAAGATTTAAAATTTCTTTTATGTTTTATTTATTTTTGAGAGAGAGAGAGAGAGAGAGAGAGCGCGAGCAGGGGAGGGGCAGAGAGAGAGGGAGACACAGAATCCTAAGCTGGCTCCAGGCTCTGAGCTAGCTGTCAGCACAGAGCCTAATGTGGGGCTCAAACCCACAAACTGTGAGATCATGACCTGAGCTGAAGTTGGATGCTTAACCGACTGAGTCACCCAGGCGCCCCTAAATAAGATTTTTTTTTTTTTTTTAAGTCACAAAGGAAAGGCTGATAAACGTATTCTGGAATTTAAAAGCTCTGTGTGACGAAAACACTATTAACCAAGTTAATACCAAGTGAACAAATATGTGATATATAGAAGAAAATATTTGGAGTTTATGTCAGAGATAAAGGGTTAATATTCAGAATGCGATAGAGAATATCCACTTCTTCCTTTTAGTAATAACCTATCAAGTGCTAGCTGAACACCTGGCAGCACAGCCAGAGATACATTTCCCAGCTCCCCTTTGGCCATGTGACTAACTTCTGGCCAATGGGATCTCAGCAGGAAGAGCTAAGTGCAGTTTACAAGTTCCATTCTTTTTTGTTTGCTTTTAATATTTTTAAAGTTTGTTTATTTACTTTTGAGAGAGAAGGGGGGAGGGGCAGGACAGAGGGAGAGAGAGAATCCCAAGCAGAGCCCAACACGGGGATTGAACTCACGAACTATGGCATTGTGACACTCAACCAAGTCACCCAGGCACCCCCTACAAGTTCCATCCTTAAGGGTAAACGGCCTTTCCTTTCCTTCTTTTCCCTTTCTCAGGGGCTCGAAGGTGGTGACCTGGGGGTAAGGACACCACCCTAGTGCTGTGTCTCCAAACTGTGCACAAAGTGCCGTGGGGTGCCGGAACAAGCTTCTAGGAGTGCCGTGGGGCATCTTAACATTTTGAGGAAACAAAGCTATTTCTGTGTCGTGCATGACATGACAGCTTGAACTAGTTCACATTTTTTTTTTAATTTTTTTCAACATTTATTTATTTTTGGGACAGAGAGAGACAGAGCATGAACGGGGGAGGGGCAGAGAGAGAGGGAGACACAGAATCGGAAACAGGCTCCAGGCTCTGAGCCATCAGCCCAGAGCCTGACGCGGGGCTCGAACTCACGGACCGCGAGATCGTGACCTGGCTGAAGTCGGACGCTTAACCGACTGTGCCACCCAGGCGCCCCTAGTTCACATTTTCAACATTAGGCCACCAAGTTCCTGATATTGCATCTTTGAGAAGATGGATTTAGGAAGCAATTGCTATTGGAATATCCATGTGGAGCAAATAACGAGAACAGTGGTTCCCAATCTGATTTTAAAGTTTGATAAACTGCGCAATGGACACTAAGTTGTTAGGACATAAATATTTATGAAGTTGTTTGGAGCTCATTATTTAAGAGTGGAGATTGTTAGATATTTCTTTGGGCTTAGGAGCTCTGTGAAAGAATCTCTAAGGCACTTAAGGGTGCCCTGTACAGAGAAAGTTTGGGAATTTTTGCCTGGTGGTGGAGAACAAGATAGGAAGAATCCGGGTCTTTGTGTGATCTTGTGGATCTCCTGGGACAGAACTGCCGACTGCTGTGGACCACCTTCCTCAGGACAATAGTGTGTGAAAGAAATAGACTTCTTTCCTATTGCAGCCATTGTGTTTGGGGATCTCTCGGTCCTAACGGCAAAGCAGACATTGTAGGTGTCCTGCCTATATCCCCGCAGCCCACTGGAGAGGTCACCTGCAATGGTTCCTGTACATGCTGATGGAGTCTCTGCTTCAGGGGGTTCTCTCCTTGGGGCTGGGCTGGGTTCTGTGTGGGCAGGCCAGAAGGACTAGGGAGGTACCGCCTCAGCAATGGCTGGGTGAATACCGCTGCTGCGCTGTCCCTCAGTGGAACGATTCGGAGGCATATTCTTTGGAGCCTCTCAGAGGGTCCCCGGTGGGACTGAGGTCCGCGCCCCCACCTGTACTCATCAACATCTGCTTTCTTGGCTTTCCAGTCTTCTCTCACTTTCCCAATCCTTCGCCATGTTTCCTGGGATTATCTCCAAAAACAAGCTACTTGGGGGCACCTGGAGGGCGTGGTCGGTTAATCGTCTGACTCTTGATCTCAGGTCATGATCTCACAGGTTCACGAGTTCGAGCCCCGCACTGGGCTGTGTGCTGATGGTGCAGAGCTTGCTTGGGATTCTCTCTCCTTCTTTCTGCCCCTCCCTTGCTTGTGCTCTCTCTCTCTCAAAATAAATAAATAAACTTAAAAAAAACAGACAAGCTGCCTTTACCAAATCCTTGTTTTGGGGTTTGCTTTTTGAGGGCAGAGGGGGCTAAACCAAGAGAAGCAGCTTGTCCGTACCTTAACAAATACATAATATATGTAAATAAGTACTGCAAAGCAACAGGAAAATGGTAAACAACTCAAATAAAAAATGGATAACTGTAAACAACTCACAACAGAGGAAACGTAATTGGCCAATAAGCACATAAGACATTCATCACTAGAAACTGGCTAGTGGTGATCAAGATAGCACAGCACAGTAATTGAGAATACTGACTCTTGAGTCCAAAGGTCTGAGTTTGAATCTCTAATGCTTTCTAGCTCTATGTCCCTAGGAAATTTAACTTCTCTGTGCCTGTTTCTTCATCTATAGGTTAATAATAATAATAATTATTATTATTATTATTATTATCTCATTGAGTTCCATAAACATTAAATGATATTTAAAAAAATTTTAAGTGCTTACAACAGTAACTGGAACCCAGGAATCACTTTATAAATGTTTGTTGAGCAAATAAATAAAATTTCATTTTATCCATTAGAATGATAAATACTAAAGGAACTGATATATTAAACGCTGGCAAGGGTTTGGAGAGACAGATTCAGACATTTGTGGTGGAAAAGCAATTTAACAGCCATCTATTAAAATTAAAATGCTTATATATTCTTTGGCCCAGAAATTCTACTTCACATAGCTGCCCTAGAAAAACACACCTAGTTGTGTGCAATGAAGCTCACACAGGTATTTCCACTGTAGCGTTGTTTTGTAATAGCAAAAACTGACATGAATCTCCATGTTTAGTAATAGAACAGTATATTGCAAACTGGTGGCCCTTGGGCTAAATTTGTCCTGCAGGTATGTTTTAAAAGCCTAGGTTAGTTGCCAACACTAAAAAAATTAGATTTATGGGGGCACCTGAGTGGCTCAGTTGATTAGGTGTCTGACTTCAGCTCAGGTCACGATTTCAGTTTGAGAGTTCAAGCCCCGCATGGGGCCCTGTGCTGACAGCTCAGAGCCTGGAGCCTGCTTCGGATTCGGTGTTTCTTTCTCTCTCTCTCTCTCTCTCTCTCTCTCTCTCTCTCCTTACCCTGCTTGTGCATGCATGCTCTCTCTCTCTCAAAAATAAATTATTAATTTATTTAAAAAATCATATTTATGTTCTAAAAACCCAGATTTTCAAGTACTCTTGAAACACTGTAATTCAAATTATCAATCCTTTTGGTCTGCATAAACAGCTATTTCTGCTTAGAAAAAAATAAACTTGCTCTACTTTGTCACTCTACTTATTACTTGCATAGTCCCTGTAGGCACTGGAATTTGGGACCCTGGAAAACGAGTTATAGCTCAGCTATGTAATGAAATGCATATAATGAGGTAAATCAATATAATAGATATTTATGTGGAAAGATCACCAAGACTGAAAAAAAAAAAAAAACCCAAAAAGGAAGATAGAGTACCATTATGTATGATGCCATTTCTGTAAACAACAACCAATTATATATTTGTGTATATACACTAGGATGTAAACTATAAATACAGGAACATTTCTGTTTTATTGCTATAGTCCCAGTGCCTAGAAAAGTGCCTGGCATATATTGGGTGCTCAATATATATTTGTTGAATACTTATGAATAAATGTATAAGATTATTATTTTTTAAGTGGGCTTCATGCCCAGCATGGAGCCCAACATGGGGCTTGAACTCACAACCCTGAGATCAAGACATGAGCTACCAAGAGTCTTTGGACTGAGCCAGGTCAATTGGCTGTACCCAGGTACCCCTATGAATAAATGTACAAAAGAATTTGGGGAGGATATACTAAATAAGTGGTTAATTTTTTCAAGGGATTGGGATTTCGGGGTGATGTTCAAGGAAGGGTTTTGTTTTGTATAGTTTCTTTTACAAGAACACAGTATTAATTGTGAAAAATTTTTTTAAATTAAAGACAACGCAAAATACAAAGGTGATCAAACCAAGATTAAAAGTTAAGTGTCATCTGGAGAAAAATCAATGGGGATAAAAGTAAACTTGCATTTATAAGCAAAAAAAAAGAAAAATTAACTCAAAATACTTAACCACAAGCTCAGAATTAAGCAGCAAGGTGAGTCAGCTGGAGACACTGATGCAATCCAGCCCACTCTGGATAAGTGATGACTTTCCATCCATAACTTACAGTCCCCACGCCCCCGAGGCGGGGGGTGGGGGGGTGGGGGGGGAGGCATCACATCTTCTGATTTGGGGAATTTGTTTTTCAATACTGTGTCCACAAGTTCATGATGGCCTTGCACATCATGTACCAGAAGGTGCCCAGCTTGTAAGTTTTTTAAAAAGGAAGAAGAAAAGGAATCAAGAAGCTGGGGTAGGTAGCAAAGACAGAAAAAGAGAAGAGCTTTAAAGCCAGTGTTTGGAGATCAGACATTTCCCTTCAAAGGGAAGACAGGCCTGACTGATTTTTCAGAGGCATCAAGAATAGACTGGTCCCAACGGATTCAGAGGCGTTCGGAGCAAAGGAACGCTCCACGGGAGACTTCTCCATGCTATGTTTGGAAGCAGCTCTTCTCACCCCAGGTTCAACTGTCATTAAACAGCCTTAGTTCTTATCCTCCAGGTTTGGAGTCAAGCAATTGTCATTGTTCCCAGGGGCAGCATGTTCAGAGCTGTTCTGAGACAGCAGGCGCAAAGACACTGGAACGGTTCGGACAGAGCCCAACGGCGTGGCTGGCAGAAAGCAAAAAAGCAAATCCTGCCCTTCACGAAGACTCAGTGCAGGAGCCCCTAAGGGTGCCTGCCACGGGCCAGCCGGAGCCCCTGCTTGGCTTGGTTCTACCGAAGCCGCCAGGCGGCTCGGGCCGCTTCACAGCACCGGCGTTCTCGCCCGCGCTACCTTAGGACCGTCGTTTAGGAAGATTTCTGGCAACAGCGTCCCAAAGTTCGACCTTCCGGCCCCAAGACACGACCACCTTCTGGAGGAGCCCAAGTGCGCAGCTAGGGACACCCGGGACAGCTCTTTCGCGAGCGGCAGGCCCCGCCTCCAGCTGCCGTCCGCACGGACTTCCGCCGGAAGTCGGCCTGGCGGCGAGCGTCGCGTGCTAACGTCACAGGTCCGACGGAAGTCTAGAGAGGCGCCCTGACGGCGCCGGCTCGGTACGGCTGGCGGTTGGCCGATCTAGGCGCTAAGGCCGCCTCTCAGGGGTTTTTTGACACCCAGGCTGACCCGCCTTTCCGCCCCGCCGGGTGCTCAGGCACCCACCGTATGCCCGCCGAGCCTTCTGCACCCCGCCCCCCACCCAGGGTTCCGGCCCCCGGGGAAAGCTCTGGCCTCGTCCGCCCGCCGGGACCGTAGCCTGGGAAAGCCTTTCTGTTCGGTGGGCAGCGTGGGCACCTCAGGAATTAGGGATAGGAACGGGGATCCAAGGCTCCTGCCTTATTCTTCCCAATTAAGCTTTTCCTCCTGAAGTCGTATAACCCCTTTCACCCTGCGGTAGGTAACACAATATCCCCCGACTTTCAAATTATTTTCCACAATTTCTGCCGCTCCTGACTCCCACCCTGTTTTATTATGTGAGTGTTTTATCGATGTCTCTGCAGCCAGATCCAGCCTTCTAGAACCATGCCTCCGGCAGCTCTGGGTGCCACCTGTTGCACCGGGCGCGCGCCGCTGCACAGGACGGGATGCCGTTTGGATTCTCCGTGAATGTTGGGAGGAGGAATGCCCGAGCTGCCGATTGAAAATGATCCAAACCAGAAATATGTAGGCTGGGGACCCTGAATCACGTGAGAATTGCTGCTCTTTGTTTCCTCTGTCTTACCTCGTGAAGAGTTTGTAGTTTGCTGATCTCAGTTGGAAGTCCAGCTCCAAATCATACTTGCTAAGACCCAAAATAACCATTTCCAGTTAATACAGACCTGTGTGTTGACTCTGGCCCCTGTGGGTGATCCCTGATTGCTGTGGGTGTGGGTCCCTGACTGCCTCTGGGGTTTGCTTGTTCCAGTAATGTTGTCAGCAGATTATTTGGGGTATGTTCTGTATCAATGTCTATGTGAGTGTTTAAGGAAGTACAAAGATGATTTGTTGCTGGTGGGAGGGAAGGTGTATGCATTTGGCATATCTCCCCCGGTTTTATTTTGGAATTTGCAGGCGGGAGGTGCCCTAAAGACATCACAGTGGTTTGATTAGAAAACTCCCTAAGCAGAAGAACTCAGGACCATCTGGGAGGCCCTAGTGCGAGGCAGTGTGTGCTCAAGGGCTGATGAATTTTGTTTAGGGAGTTGATGTCTGAGAATGTGCACCATAGATTTTATCCCTCAGTTGTAGTCACACTTTTTTTGTTTCTTTGTAGCCCCAGGATGGACTTCCTGGTTCTCTTCTTGTTCTACCTGGCTCTGGTGCTGATGGGTGTTGTTACGATATGCATCTGCTCAAAAACCCATTACCTGAGAGGCCTGGTCAGAGGAGGAGCCCAGGTAACCACGATGCTTGGAGACCACTGGATTGTGACTACCACATCTAAAAGGCTCACCGGTTCCCTGATGGAACAAAACACAGATGTCATTTTTATTCATTTGTTCACTTCTTTCATTTATGGCAGTTATGGTGTATCTGAAAGTCTCTGTTTTTTTTGTTTTTTTTTTTTTGTGGGTTTTGTTTTTTGTTACTTTTGAAGTAACCTTGTGATGTTTTTTGAGAGAAGATCACATTCTCGAGGTTGGCTATTTTTCTCTGGATTTGATGCCCGTGATTGGGCATGGATGTGAGCAATGTCTGCCTGGAGGGGTCTGATGAGTGGAACTGGGGGCTGTATGAGGAGAGAGCTGAGCATCAGCTGCCCACACTCCTTTAGGAATCCAAGTGAGCAAAGTTGGGGTCAGTGGCCTTTGGCAAGGGGGTTCACTTGGGAGGGACCTGGGCTAATGCCCAGTGACTGCAGGTGTGGACTCTGGAATCTGAGATTGAACCCAAGGCAGGGAAGGGAGTGGAATTCACATTGGCATTACCTAGTCCAGTCCCTCTGCTCACCTCCCTTTGCCTGAAGACCCCGACATGGTGCTTTCTTTGGTGCTGGGGTGAAAAAGGAGGAGCTGGCATCAAAGGCAGACCAGCTGAGTGAAGCCCTCCTTTTTATTCTCTCTTAAATCTCTTCTCTGCCCATGTGCAGAAACACAAGATCACCAGTATTGATGGCTGACCGGGAAGCATCTAATTTGTTTGGGAGTGGGGGGGGGGGGGTGAGAAATGAAACTGAATCCTTTTATTTTAGGTAATTTCCTGTATAATTCCAGAATGCCTTCAGAGAGCTATGCGAAAAGTGCTTCATTACCTCTTCCACACACGGTATTTATATTTCACAGATTACATACTATCTTCTCTTCTGTTTTGATTGCTAACTGTTGCTGTCCTGTAGCTTCAGGAAGTTTCTTGTTGGTTTCCAGCTGTGGTATGGGGAAGGAGGCTGGAAGGATCAAGAGTCCTGGTTCAGGACCTCTGCTCATAAATAACCTGCCTTTTATTTTTGGAGTTTTGACAGAAATATTTAAACAGTGGGGATATACTGACATGCATTTCTGTAAAAAGAAATCTATCCTGATACCTCACTTCCCAGCAAAGATGATAATCGTAACGGATAACAAATATTGAATGCTTGCTATTGCTAGGCACTGTGAGAACTGTGTCGCATTGTTATGTAATTCTTGCTGTTATCCCAAGCCCAAAGGAAGTGGTTGGCCCTGGGTTAACTTAAGTATTACATGGTTTCTTCATGGACAAGGCCCTGTAAAACTAGCCACGTGTCTACTTCCTTTCAGAAACCACACCTTCATTATGCTGCACCTCCTCTTGCAAGGGATGGTTTATGCTGAATACACCTGGGAAGTATTTGGCTACTGTCAGGAGCTGGGGTTCTCCCTGCATTACCTTCTCCTGCCCTACCTGCTGCTGGTTATAAACCTGGTGTTTTTCACGCTCAGCTGCGTAAGCAACCCTGGTAAGTTGAGGCTCTCACTACAGAGACCGGCAGCCCTCGGTCTTACCATGCTACAGACCAGTGATCCGTCTGAGGACTTTGCAAAAGAGTTGATACATAGTGGTCTCATGATCTTTCGGTTGTGATTGTTTTCTAAGTTATTTCTTCTTTGACCTGTGGGTTATTTAGAACAGCTTAAAATTTTCCATATACTCTTTTAGTTTATTTTTTGATCTCTTCACTAATAATTGTGTTATATAGAGAGTTTGTGATCCCTATGACACAGTTTCTTTTAAACATTTTATTGATAATTTGCATTATGGCGGTCACGTGTTGTTTTTGTAAATGATCTGTGTGTGCTTGGAAGAGTATGTTTTCTTGTTCTTAGGCACAGACAGCATATAAGTCCATTAGATCAAGTTTTTAAATTATGTTCAAGTCTTTTATATTCATACTAATATTTTTGTGTGATCAATTATCGAGAGAGGCATGTTATCTCATTCTGATGGTAGATTTGAGATTTCTCCTTGCAATTTTTGCTTTACTTATTTACTTATAGTGTGTGTGTATACGTATATCATGGTTATGTGTATGTTTGTATTATATGCATTCAAGTTAAGAATTGGTATTCTCTTTCCATTGAATCTTTTTTCAAAGTATAATTAGCCTCTTTGTCACTAGTAACGCTCTTTGCTTTCAGTTCTCTTTTGTGTGATGTTAATATTATTACACTTTTTTGGATTGATATTTGCTTGGTATCTTTTTTCCATGTCTTTACTTTTTTTTTTAAATGTTTGTTTATTTTTGAGAGAGACAGAGAGAGACAGAGCATGAGCGGGGGAGGGGCAGAGAGAGAGGGAGACACAGAGTCCGAAGCAGGCTCCAGCCTCTGAGCTGTCAGCACAGAGCCCGAGGCGGGGCTCAAACTCATGGACTGGGAGATCATGACCTGAGCTGAAATTGGATGTTTAACTGACTGAGCCTCCCAGGCGCCCCTCCATGCCTTTCCTTTTAAGCCTTTCTATCCTTGAAGCACCAAGGGTCCGACAGCTGATGAACAGGTAAACTGCGGTGTGCCTATTCGACGGGACAGTATTCAGCAACAGGAAGGAATGAGGGAGTGACATGTGTTAGAACATAGATGAACCTTGAAAAACTGTGCTAAATGAAAGAAGCCAGAGGGGCGCCAGGGTGGCTCAGACGGTTAAGGTCTGACTCTTGATTTCAGCTCAGGTCATGATCTCACAGTTCATGAGTTCGAGCCCCGCGTGGCACTCTGCGCTGACAGTGTGGAGCCTGCCTAGGATTCTCTCTCTCCCTCTCTCTCTCTCTCTGTCTCTGCCCCTCCCCTGCATATGTGTGCGCACGCACTCTCTGTTGCAAGATAAATAAAATAAAACTTAAAAAAAAGCCAGATACAAAAGACCACAAATTGTATGATTCCATTCATATGAAATATCCAAAAAAGGCAAATGCATAGAGACAGAAAGTAGATTAGTGATTGCCAGGGGCTGGGATTAGAGACAAATGTGGAGTGGCTGCTAACGGGTTTCTTTTTGAAGTGATAAAAACATTCTAAAATTGGTTGTGGTGATGGTTGCATAACTCTGTGAATGTACTAAAATATGTTGAATTGTGCACTTTAAATTGGCGAATGGGGCTTGTGAGTTGTATCTCAATAAAGCCATTTATTTAAAAAAAAATTTAAGTTTATTTATCGTGAGAGAGAGCGAGCAGAGGATGGGCAGAGAGAGAGAGGGAGAAAGAGAATCCCAAGCAGGCTCCACCCTGTCAATGCAGAGCTCCACAGTGGGATCCACGATCCCACTGTCCACAATCTATGAACTGTGAGATCATGACCTGAGCTGAAATCAAAAGTCAGGTGCTTAACCGACTGAGCCACTCAGGTGCCCCAAAGCTTTATTTAAAGTGAGTTATTTAGAATATTAAATATATAAGTTTTAGTTGCACTTTGTCAGGACAGATTTTGTGAATGTCCAGTCTACCATATTGCTCAAAACTGACATTTGTCCTTTTTTCAGGCACTATAACAAAGGCTAACGAGTTTTCGTTACTTCAAGTTTATGAATTCGATGAAGTGATGTTCCCAAAGAATATGAAGTGCTTCACTTGCAATGTGAGGAAACCAGCGCGATCCAAGCACTGCCGTAGGTTTGGCTTTGGTTGCTCCCTCTCTACCTTTGTACAACAGACGTGGGCTTTGTCAGTAAGGGAAGGTTCCAGAAATCTAAAGCAAGGCCATTTGTCTCCCAGGCATGGGCAGCCTCTGCTTGTAGAGGCCAGATAGGGGTTCCTTCAGATGACTGGAGGTGAGGTCTCGATATTCTTACATAGTGGGCAACTCAGCCCCAGGCATAACAGCCCATCCTGTGCCACGCGGCGGGGCGTGTTGCCCAACAGGACTTCTGTGGGATGCTGTGTTTGCAGATTTCAGTGCTGGCAGAGCCTACTCTTCTGGGGAGTAGCCAAGATTCTAGACTAGTGCTGCCCAAAAAATATAATGTGAGCTACATGTGTGATTTAAATTTCCTAGTAGCCACATTACAAAAGTAAGATGAGGCAACGTTAAATTTAATTATGTATTTATTTAACGTAACCTATTTAAAATATCATGGTTTAGGTAAGAGCTTTTTTTTTTAAGTTTATTTATTTTGAGCGAGAGAGTGAATGGGGGAGGAGCAGAGAGGGAGAGAGAGAATCCCAAGCAGGCTTCACATTGGCAGCACAGAGCCCACTGTGGAGCTTGAGCTCACGAACTGTGAGATCATGACCTGAGATGACATCAGGAGTCAGACGCTCAACTCACTGAGCCACCCAGGTGCCCCTAAAACACCATTTTAACATGTAGTCAGTTGTAAAAATCATTCATGGGTTAGTTTATATTCTCCTTTTCATACTAAGTCTTTGAAATTTGGTATATATTTTCCATTTACAGCACATCTCAATTGAGACAATAAATTTTCATAGGAAATTCTTGACCTTTATTTAAATTTCATAAAATTTGCAGTTGGAAGAGCAGATTCACGTACCCAAGTTACTCTAGAAATTCTTACAAGTTTTTTCCATAACATAATCATTTTCTTTTAATAGTCACGTAATGATTCATCTCTATAAGAAGAATTAATTTAACTTCAAGGCATTGGTTTGGGGCACCTGGATGGCTCAGTCGGTTAAGTGTCTGACTTCGGCTCAGGTCATGATCTCACAGTTCGTGAGTTTGGGCCCCGTGTCAGGCTCTGTGCTGACAGCTCAGAACCTGGAGCCTGCTTCAGATTCTGTGTCTCCCTCTCTCTCTGCCCCTCCTCCACTCACATTCCTTCTCTCTGTCTCAAAAATAAAGTAAACATTAAAAAAACCCCATCAGTTTAAAAGTTAAGTCTGTGCAAGTTAAGTAAATTCACTAACCCTTATGTCATCTCAGCATTGCTGATATTGAACTTAAAGGAGCATTGCATAAATGGAAAAACAACTCTAAATTTAGCAAAATAAACAGTATTCTTTCAGGTTTTCCTCATGGCCACATTTTAAGTGCTCAGTACCCCTCTGTGGCTCGCAGCTACTGTACTAGACCCTGCACTTCTAATAGCCTGGTGATGGCAGTCGCCATTTCCTCCAACATCTGCCAGGAGTCAGTTTGTAAAAATTTCAAAGGTGTGCATGGTCTCCTGTTTCTTCAAGGACTAACTCAGGGCTGTGATTTTCCCTTTTCTGTGCAGGTGTGTGTAACAGGTGTGTGCACCGTTTTGACCATCACTGTGTTTGGGTGAACAACTGTATCGGGGCCTGGAACGCCAGGTACTTCCTCATCTACCTCTTGACGTTGACGGCCTCAGCTGCCACCATGGCCGTTGTGAGCACCGTGTTTCTGATCCAGTTGGTGGTGGTGTCGGACTTCTATCTGGAGACTTACGTTGATGACCTTGGACACTTGCAGGTTATTGACATTGTCTTTCTTATTCAGGTAATTAATATTCACGGAGTTATGTTGTGGGATGTACGTTTCTGACTTTAGGATTCAACATTGGAAAAAGGATATTTATTTTCCCAGTCAAGAGATGAAGCCATTCCTTTTTAAAAAATGAACATGGGGTGCCCAGGTGGCTCAGTTGGTTAAGCGTCTGACTCTTGGTTCCCACTCAGGTCATAATCTCACAATTTGTGAGTTCAAGTCCAGCATCAGGCTCTGCACTGTCGTGGAGCCTGCTTGGAATTCTCCCTCTTCCCCCCCCACCCCCGGCTCTGTCTCTTTCTCAAAATAATAAACTTAAAAAATTAAAAAAAAAAAAGAATATATAATTTTTTTAGTTGATAACAGTACATATACTGTAAAATTTATCCTTTTTGTTTTAAGGGGTTTTTTTTGTTTGTTTGTTTGTTTAAGTAATCTCTATGCCCAGTGTGGGGCTTGAACTCACAACCCTGATATCAAGAGTTGCTTGCTCTTCCAATGGAGCCAGCCAGGTGCCCCTAAAATTCATTATTTTGTTTTGTTTTGTTTTATTTTATTTTTTTATTTTAATTTTATCTTATTTTTCATGTTTATTTATTTTAAGAGAGAGAGAGAGAGCACAAGCAGTGGAGGGGCAAAGAGAGAGGGAGAGAGAGAATCCCAAGCAGGCTCAGTGCTGTCAGCACAGAGCCCAACATGGGGCTTGATCTCATGAACAGTGAGATTGTGACCTGAGCTGAAATCAAGAGCCAGACGCACCATCAGCTGAGCCACCAGGTGCCCCAAAATTCATCCTTTTAAACTATATAGTGCAGTGGTTCAGAGTTGTGTAACGACCACCACCATCTAATTTCAGAACGTTGCATCACCCCAAAAAGAAACTCTTACCTATTAGAAGTCATTCCTTTTTGTCCTCTTCCCTGGACCCTGGCAACCACTAATCTGCCTTCTGTCTTTATGGAGTTGTCTTTTCTGGACATTTCACATAACACACAGTCTGCCTTTTGGGCTGGCTTCTTTGTTTAGCATGGTGTGTCCATGGTTCATCCATGTTGTTGCATGAATCAGTATTTCACTCCTTTTTATGGCTGAATAATACTCCATTGTGTGGACATACCACATTTTATTTATGTATCAGTTATGGACATTTGAGTGTTTTCACTTTTTGGTTATTTTTGAATAATGCTGCTTTGAACATCTGTGTACAAGTTTTTGTGTTTTCATGTCTCTTGAGTTCCACCCAGGAGTAGAACTGCTGGATCATATGGTAGCTCTGTTTGTAATCATTTGAGGAACTGCCAGCCTGTTTTCAAAGTATCTTGACCATTTTACATTTCCACCAGCAACGTGTGAGGGTTCCACCTTCATACATCCTCGCCTACACTTGTTATTGTCTTTTTGATCATAGGCCTCGTCACAGGCATGAAGCGATACCTTACTGCAGTTTGATTTGCATTTCCCTGATGACTTCACGATGTTGAGCAACTTTTTGTGTGCTTATTGGCCATTTGTATATCTTCTTTGGACGAGAAGATTTAGAGGAGACGCTCATCTTTTTTTTTTTTTATTTTCTTTTTCATATTAGAGAGAGAGAGACAGAGAGACAGAGCTTGAGTTGGGGAGGGGCAGAGAGACGGAGACAGAATCCAAAGCAGGCTCCTGGCTCCAAGCTGCAAACCGTCAGCACAGAACCCAATGCGGGGCCCAAACTCACAAGCAGTGGGACCATGACCTGAGCTGAAGTCTGATGCCCAATTAACTGAGCCACCCAGGCGCCCTGAGAGGCTCATCTTTAAATTGAGTTGTCTTTCATTCTTGTGTTGTTAAGAATCCTTTTTATATTCTGTACACTTGACTCTTATCAGATATACGATTTGCAATGATTTCTCCGATTCTATGGGTTGTCTTCGTGTTTTTGATAGTTTTCTCTGAAATACAAAAGTTTTACATTTGGATTTTAAGTTGATTTTTTTCTTTTATTGCTTGTGCTTTTTGGTGTCATATGTAGGAATCCATCGCCTAATCCAAGGTCATGAAGATTTATTTACACTTACATATTCTTCTAAGTGTTTTTGTAGTTTTAGCTCTTACAGGTTAGGCCTCTGGTCATTTTGAGTTAAGTTTTGCACATGCCGTAGGGTAGGGTTCCAACTTCATACTTTTAGTATGCGGGTATCCAGTTGTCCCAGCATGTTTTTTTTTGAGAAGACTGTTTTTTTGCTCATTGAATTGTTTTGGCATTTTGTCAAAAATTAATTTACAGTAATGTAGGGTTCTTATAAAAACTCATTTGATGGCCAAAAGATTTCTACTGCATTTATGGGAAGTAGCTTGTGAGCAGTCACTGTTTTAGGTGACTGGTTAATTCTTCTTGTTTTTTTTTCCTTTTGTTCAAAGAAAATGAAAAAGTGGAATGTATTCCATAAATGCAAGGTTGGTTCAATGTTAGGAAATTGATTAGTATTTTATTCGGCATTATTAAATATAAAGAACAATAGCACGGTCATTTCCCTGTCTCTCTTTTTTTTAAATGTTTATTTATAGTTGAGAGGGAGAGACATACAGCGTGAGTTGGGGAGGGGCAGAGAGAGAGGGAGACATAGAATCCGAAGCAGGCTCCAGGCTCCGAGCTGTCAGCACAGAGCCTGATGTAGGGCTCAAACTCATGAACAATGAGATCATGACCTGAGCTGAAGTCAAGACACTTAACCAGCTGAGCCACCTAGATGGCCCACATGGTTATTTCTCTTGATACTGAAAAGTGTTTCACAAAATTCAACACCCATTCTAATAAAAGCACTCAGAAAATAGAAATGGAAGGAGACTGTCTTAATATGATAAAATGCACAGTAAAAGCTAGTATTTTTTTAAATTTATTTTGAAATAACTGTGATTTACAGGAGGTTACAAAGAAACCTACAGGAAGCCTATGCGCTCTTAAGCCTGCCCCCCACTGCCAGCCCCTCCCCCCATGCCAGCATCCCTAGGCAACCACAGCCCAATGCCAAAACCAAGCAGTTGACATTGGCACAATCCGCAGAGCTGATTCAGATTTCACCAGTTACATATGTGTTCATTGTTGTGTGTGTGTGTGTGTGTGTGTGTGTGTGTGTGTGTGTCTGTGTGTCTGTGTGGATCTGTGTAATCTGTCGCATGTGTGTGCCTGCATAACCACCACTATAGTCCGCATGTTGTGTCCATCACCACAGACTCCCTCATGTTACTCCTTATCGCCACAGCCTCATCCTGCATACCTGCCACTGCTACTCTGTTCTCCATCTCTATTAGTATGTTATTTCATGATTGCTACATAAATGGAATCACATCCAATCTTTTAGAGATTGGTTTCTTCACTCAGTGCAGTTTCCTTGAGATCCATGCAAATGGTTGCATGTATTTAGGGTTCCTTCCTTTTTGCTGCTGTATAGTATTCCACAGTATGGGTGGACCATGCTTTGCTTAACCATTTAGCCTTTGAAGGACATCTCTGTAGTTTCTGGGTTTTAGCTATTAACTAATAACGTTGTGTTGAACATTCCCATTTACAAGTTCCTGCATGATACCTCTTCACTGTGATTGTCGGGTTGATAAGTCCATTTTAGGTTTTGAAAAGGACCACCATACTCTTTTCCAGAGTAATATACCAGAGTAAAATATACCGTTTTACATTCTCACCAGTGATGGAGGAATGACTGGTTTCTCTGCATTCTTTCCAGCATTTCATGTTATCACTGTGTTTCATTTTAGCCATTCTGATAGGTGTGTAGTGATTTGTTGTTTTATCCTTGAGTAGTTTTTGTTTCAGTTTTTTTCATTTATGTAAGTGTCCAAACATACTGAAAAGTTACCTGTATACTTTCCACCTAGATTTAAAAATTAACATTTTAATCTGTTCTTTGTGTATTTTTCTTTCTTTCTTTTTTAACAATTTTTAATGTTTATTTATTTATTTTGAGAGAGAGAGAGAGGACAGAGTGTGAGGGGGGGATAGGCAGAGAGAGAGGGAGACAGAGAATCCAAAGCAGGCTCCAGTCTCTGAGCTGTCAGCACAGAGCCCGATGCAGGGCTCGAACCCATGAACTGCAAGATCATGACCAGGGTCAAAGTCATCGCCCAACTGACTGAGCCACCTGGGTGCCCCTTGTATTTTTCTGTATTATTAGACATAAACTGGAGACACTATGTTGCTTCACCCCTAAGTACTTGAACACGCATTTAAAAAATTTTTTTTATTCTTTTTAATTTTTCTTTTTTTTCTTTTTTTTTTTATTTTAGAGAGCAGGAGCAGGGGAGAGGAGCAGAGGGAGAGAGAGACAGACAGAGAAAGAATTCTAAGCAGGCTGCACACTCAGTGCAGAACTTGATCCCACGACCCTGGGATCGTAACCTGAGCTGAAATCAAGAGACACTCAACTGACTGAGCCGCCTAGATGCCCCTGGAACATGCATTTTTTTTTTTTTAATTTTTTTTTTTCAACGTTTATTTATTTTTGGGACAGAGAGAGACAGAGCATGAACAGGGGAGGGGCAGAGAGAGAGAGGGAGACACAGAATCGGAAACAGGCTCCAGGCTCTGAGCCATCAGCCCAGAGCCCGACGCGGGGCCCGAACTCACGGACCGCGAGATCATGACCTGGCTGAAGTCGGACGCTTAACCGACTGCGCCACCCAGGCGCCCCGGAACATGCATTTTTATAGAATGTCAACCTCCAACATAACTACAATTCTGTTATCTCACCAAGGAAAAGTAATAATAAATATATGTAATAAATATAGAATATATAGTAAATATGTAATATATAATCTAGTCCATATTTAAATTTCCCCATTGTTTCAAATATGTCTTTTATAAAGCTCTTTTGCCTCCTTGAAGCAGAATCCACCTTGTAGTTAACACATTGCATTTGAATGTCATATCTTTTTAGTCTCATAGTCTAAAATAATGCCTCTCCTTTTTTTCATGAAGTTGACATTTAGTAGTTTAGTAGTCTTTTAGAATGTCCCTTGGTCTAAATTTGTCTTTTTCCTACTTGTGTCAACTAATTTTTCTCTGTTCCTTAATATTAATGTGAACTGGAAGTTAGTTCTAGAGACCTGATCAGATTCAGGTTAAATGTTTTTGGCAAAAATGCTTTCTAGGTAGAAGTATGTATTTCATGTTGCATCCCATCAGGTGGAACACAGGGTCAGTGACACTTAACTTGATCTGTTGCTTAAGGTGGTGCCCACCAGCTCTCTCCATTGGTGAAGTACATTTTCCCCTTTATGGTAGGTAATCAGTGTATGTGGTTTTGTTTTTGTATTTAGGACTTTCTGTAGGATAGCTTCCAAAAAGTATATGTACTGAGTCAAAGATTATTATTTTTTTTTAACATTTACTTATTTTTGAAAGAGAGAGACAGAGCATGAGCGGGGGAGGAGGGGAGAGAGAGAGAGAGGGAGACACAGAATCCGAAACAGGCTCCAGCCCCTGAGCTGTCAGCACAGAGCCCGACGTGGGGCTCAAACCCACAAACCGCGAGGTCATGACCTGAACCGAAGTCAGACGCTTAACTGACTGAGTCACCCAGGTGGCCCTGAGTCAAAGATTATTAACATTTATAAATAAATCTTTTGATTTTAATATATATCGTCAAATTGTTTTTTAAAACACTGTGGTTAGGTGAGGCTCCTGGGTGGCTCAGTCAGTTAAGCATCTGACTTCGGCTCAGGTCATGACCTCGCGGTTTGTGGGTTTGAGCCCCACGTCGGGCTCTGTGCTGGCAGCTCAGAGGCTGGAGCCTGCTTCGGATTCTGTGTCTCCCTCTCTCAATGCCCCTCCCCTGCTCACATTCTGTCTCTCTCTCTCTCTCTCTCTGTCTCTCTCAAAAATAAATATTAAAATATATATATATGTTTTTAATTAAAAAAAAAAAAAAAAACACCTTTGTGCTTAGGGGCGCCTGGGTGGCTTATTGGTTGAGTGTCCAACTCTTGGTTTTGTCTTAGGTCATGATCTCGTGGTTTGTGAGATCGAGCCCCGCGTCGGGCTCTGTGCTTCTAGCACAGAGCCTGCCTTGTGCTTAGAGTGATTGGCAGGTATTCACTTTGTTGTGTCAGGGTGGACATTGAGGATGCCCAGTGGTGGCAGGTGCTTCTATGTTGGTAGGAATACATGTTGTACCCTTTTAAAGAATTATATTTCTTTATTACTTTTGATTACTTTCCTTGTTTGGCAGTCATTTGTATATCTTTTTTTGTGAATTATGTCCTTTATTATACTAGAATTACTTTAGATTTGAGATCATATAATAATGATAGTTCATTCTTGTATTTGTTTTCTGTTGTGTATCCTCTTCTGTATAAAAAAAATCCTATAAAAAAAATTTAGACATCCTTTGTCATCGAATCTCTTTTCTTTGTGACTTCGTTAGAAGGTCCCTCCTGTGAAGAGTTTTGATGCACCTGCCTCTCTTACTCTTGCCTTTCAAAGATACTGAACACTGTCAGAATTCATTTTCTTTATTCTAAAAAATAACTTCTCAAAATTCAAGCAGTCCAGAAGTGCTTAAAATGAAAAGGGGGAGAAGAGGGGGAAAGGGCTCAAAGGCACAAACTTGTAGTTGAAACAACTAACCTTGTTGTGATCATTTGCTATACGTGACGTTGTGCACCTTAAACTTTCACAATGTCATGTCAATTCTGTCTCAATAAAGCTGGGGGGAAACACATGAAATTTAAAGCATCTTTAAAAAAAAATGAAAACTGGGGGTTATACCCTGCCCTTCCCAACAGCTCACTGCCTAGAGGCCACCTCTTTTGTAGTTTGGTGTGTACATTCAGGCTTTTTTCCTGTGGTTGTCGATATTACCCACCTTCATGGAGTGTGTTTTTGTTTCTTATAAGAATATGATCCCATGTGGATCCTTGCCTCTTGTCTTTCTTATCCGGCAATATTTTGCCAATGTCTTTTCCGAATCAGTATGTAAAAATTGGCCTCATTTGTACCGGCTCCTTATTATACCATAGTATCATTACCCCAAGATTTTACTCTTTCTCACGACTGGACTTCCTCTTTTCGGAAGAGGGGCTGTGAAAATCACTACAGTGAATACTCTCGTACGTGTGTTTCTTTGGCCATATTGTGTTGAGAGAGAGATTGGTCTCCTGTGTCCGTCTGGATTTATATTGTGATGCATGAAAGAAGATGTGTATTTATTTCTTTGTCTTACAAGTAGCTGACGGGCATAGTCACATCTCCTAGTATCCTTTTCCTTTTCCTTCGGTGTGCACATTCCATTTATCCCATAGTAAACTCCTGCATGCTAGGACTGCTTCTGGGGCTGTTTGTCAGAGCCATTTATGGTTCTGTTTTGTGTTCAGTGGGTCAGGTGTGTGTACAGGTGGGTGAGCTGGGGCGGCAGCTGTCACGTGTCTGCAGACGAGGCCAGGGCTGGTGGGTGCTGGCCCTTACTTGTGTCACAGCGTGGCTGCCTAACGTGCTGTTCCTTCTCTGCCCCCAGTACCTGTTCCTGACCTTGCCAAGGATCGTCTTCATGCTGGGTTTTGTTGTGATGCTGAGCTTCCTCCTGGGGGGCTACCTGTGCTTCACTTTGTACCTGGCTGCCACCAACCAGACCACTAATGAGTGGTACAGAGGTGACCGGGCCTGGTGCCACCATTGTCCCCACGTGGCCCGGCCCCCATCAGCAGAGCCCCAGGTCTACCGGAACATTCATTCCCATGGGCTTTGGAGCAACCTTGGAGAGATCTTCCTACCTGCTGCTGCACATTGTGCTGAGAAGATGAACTAAGAATGAGAAGTGTTACTGCTGTTTAAATATAGTATACATTTATTTGTACGTCTTTATTTGTACTTTTAAGTATCAGTGTGGTGTTTCTTCATTTTGGGGTGTTTTGTTTTTTTGTTTTTTTCTCTTTTGGCTTCTGCTGCATGTTTATAAATTGGCTTCAAGTAGTTAAGGAAGGGACGAGAAAACTCGTGTTTATTGGGTGCCTAATCCTTACAGGTGCTGTGCTGGACCCTGTGGTAGAAACCCCCTTGCCTATCCTCTATTCACTCAGCTCTGCTAACCTTGGTCTCCCGCTCTAGACTCCAGACCTCAGACTTCTGACAGGAGGGGCCTTGGCTGTGTCCCCACATGTGCGGGAGAGTTCCAGTGACCTGGGGTTGTGCCAGGCTGCACCCTTCCCATCCCTCCTAGGGAAAGGCCTTGGCTTTTTATCTCCTTAACCATATCCAGCACCCCTCACCCAGGCCCTCCCTTGGGTCAGCATGGGCCTTTTACATAAGGCCCATTCCTGTGCTGGTGGTCCCCTGCCCTTCACTGGCCTCTTGTGGCCACGTTCAAGTCTTTTCTGACCTATTAAAACAAAATTTTTTTTTTTAATGTTTATTTTTGAGAAAGAGACAGAAGGAGAGCGAGTGCAAGTGGGGGAGGGGCAGAGAGCGAGGGAGACACAATTCTAAGCAGGCTCCAGGCCCTGATCTGTCAACACAGAGCCAGAGGCGGGGCATGAAGCGACCAGCGGTGAGATCATGACCTGAGCCGAAGTTCCAAGCTTAACCGACTGAGCCACCTCTGCCCTATTTTTAAAATTCCAAACTATCACCCCCCACCCCTCCACTGTCCCGTTAATTCAGTGCAAAGAGACGAATGCGTAAGAGTTTCATAGAAAGTGCTGAGGGGGTTTTGGAGGGGAGGGTTTTCAGGAGCAGAATACCTAAGATTCCCATGGCCAGGCTGCTCAGGATTGGGGATTGGGAAGAGGGGACTGGGGAAGAGGACTCGGGACTAGAAGCTGGAGGCCAGGGGTAAGGGGGCATCATTTGTCACTGCAGCGCCAAGAGTTCCGGAGTAGACGTAATCTTTACAATGAACTGCCAAGGCCTGAGCAACGGCTCAGCACACCAGCCTACCTTACAGGTGGGAAAGCGCGGTCAAATCCAATCCAATAGGCTTTGAGCGCCGCGCAGAGGAAGCAAGGGGAACTTCTCGTTTTGCGCGCGGGCGAGTGGAGCGCAAAGTCCAATGAGCGTTCAGTGGCGGGTGCGGCGGCCCAGCGAGCCCCCGCAGGACCCACAGGCGGTCGCGGGGCCCGGGGGCGGGGCCTGAGGGGCGGGGCGTACCTCCGCGCGGGCCGGCCGAGCCGCCAGGTGGCGCCCTCCCGAGAGT